AGCATTCTTTGACCTTTCAATCAGCACAGGAGAGCTTCTTTGTTGGGTGTGGCGAACACTGAGGTGGCTTGCGATTCCTTCCTGTTGATCTGGGAAAATATGTCATAGAGTCAGAGTTGTACAGCACAGAAACTAGACCTTTCGGTCCAACTCATTCATGCTGACCAGATAAATTAATCTAGTCCCATTTGCCAGCATATGGCAGAGAGATAATGGTAAATTCTGTGCCTGTGTGCTTGCCTCCACTTCATCTGACAAAGGAGCAGCGCTCCAAAAGCTTGTGATTTCAAATAAACCTGTTGGACTATAACCTGGTGTTGTGTGACTTCTGACTTTGTCCACCCCAGTCCAACACCGGCACCTCCAAGTCATGGCTTTTAAATGTTGTAATTGTCTTAAGTCCAGGGAAACAACAGCTTTCACATTAAACTTTAATAGTTAATATGCACATACCAATCAATCTCACTCATAAGTTGCTATACTATCACGCAGGCTAGTGGCTCGAGTGAATAATATAGAAACATACTGCCCATTTTTTTTTATGTTGGAACTTTTAATCTCACTTCCATGCTGTCTCCTTGGGCTCTTATATTGAAAAAATTATGTCAAACTCTATTTAATAAGTTATGGTTGAATTCTTGACTATTAGGGGTAGGTGGAAATGAGCTGAGGTCCCAATCAGATCAGCTGTTATCATTTGGAACACCAGGGCAGGCTAGATGAGCCAAATAGCTTCCTCCTGCTCCTAATCTGTCTCCACTACCCTTTCAGATTGTGCATTCTAGATCATGCTTATTCTGGGTAACAGCAGCTAATAGTCACATAGCTGATACCATGATCCATATGAATTGAACTGTGGGGTGCACGCACATAAAAACCTAACACCTCCCCATTGCAGATTCAACAACAGAGGCCCCTGGTTTTGTCTTTCCATCAAGACAGTGGACTGCACTTAAGCCAATGTACTCAGAGCATGGACAATGGTGCTACCTGCTCCATGATTAGAAAATGAGAGGCCATCCAAAACTGAGTCCCAGACCATGGGGAATATAGTAGACAAACCTGTTCATTAAGATCTGTTGTGGGAAGACACCCTGCTTTCCACTTGGTATTTCAGGAGGCTATTGACTAGATAGATAAACTGTACGCTCCATGATATACTCTTCCTTTTTATTTTTTCACTCATGGGATGTGAATGTTGCCGGTTGGCCAGCATTTATTGCCCTGTCCCTAGTTACTCTTAAGAAGGTGATGGTGAGCTGCCTTCATGAGCCACCGCAGTCCATATGCTGTAGGTTGACTTAGAAGGGAATTCCAGAATTTTGACCTGGTGACAGTGAAAGAATGGCGATATATCTCCAAGTCAGGATGGTGAGTGGCTTGGAGGGGAACTTGCAGGTGATGGTGTTCCCAAGTATCTGTTGACCTTGTCCTTCTAGATGGAAGTGGTTGTGAGTTTGGAAGGTGCTGTCTTAGGGTCTTTGACTTTCTGCAGTGTGCCTTGTAGATAGTACACACTGCTACTACTGAATGCCAATGGTGGAGGGAGTGGATGCTCGTGGATGTAGTGCCAATCAAGCAGACTACTTCGTCCTGGATAGTTTCAAGCTTCTTGAGTGTTGGTGGAGCTGCACTCATCCAGGCAAGTGGAGTGTACTCCATTATACTCCTGAGTTGTGCCTCATAGATGGTGGACAGGCTTTGGGGAGTCAGGAGGTTAGTGACTCGCTGCAATATTCCTAGTCTGTGATCTGCTCTTGAATTTCTGGTCAACAGTAAACCGAGGATGTTCATAGTGGGGAATTCAAAAATGGTCACACCATTGAGTGTCAAGGGGTAGCGATTACATTGCCTCTTGTTGTGTGGCATGAATGTTACTTGTCACCTGTCAGCCCAAGCCTGAATATTGTACAGATCTTGTTGCATTTAAACATGGACTATTTCAGTATCTGGGGAATTGCAAATAGTGCTGAACACTGTGCAATCATGAATGAACATCCCCACTTCTGACCTTATGATGGAGGGAAGGTCATTGATGAAACAACTGCATAGCCTAGGACAGTACCCTGGGGAACTCCTGCAGAGATGTCCTGGACCTGAGATGACTGACCTCCAACAACCACAACCATTTTCCTGTGGGTCTGCTATGACTCCAACCAGTGAAGAGTTTGCCCCCTGATACCTATTGATTCTAGTTTTGCTAGCGCTGCTTGATGCCATACTTGGTCGAATTCAGCCTTGATGTCAAAGGCTGTCATTTTCGCCTCACCTCTGGAATTCAAAGCTTTTGTATGCGTTGTAATGAGGTCAGAAGCTGAGTGGCTCTGGCAGAACCTAAAGTGGGCATCACTGAGCAGGTGCTGCTTGATAGCATTGTGGATAACATCTTCCATCACTTTATTGATGATTGAGAGTAGACTGGGGCAGTAAATGACTGGGTTGGATTTCCCCTGCTTTTCTGTGTACAGGACATACCTGGACAATTTTCTACAGAGACCAATGGTTTAGTTGTACTGGAACATCTTGGTTAGGGGAGTGGCAAGTTCCTAGGCATAAGAGAGAACCTGCTGCCTCGTGACAAATGGGCAGTTAAACTGCCTGCAGAAGGAATGTCCTGAAGTAAAGGGGTTAATTGCAGGACAGGCTGTTTTAAACAGACCGCTAACACTGAATGTAACCAGGAACAGGGAGCTACTTCTGAAAAGAAGGCAAACTGCAGACTTAAGGGTCTCCAGAAGTGTAATAAATGTTGGGGATGAAAGAATATAAAGGATCATTACAACATCACACCACAAACTTCAAAGAGAGAAAATTGTATAGGAATGCAGCACCAGAACTGTTCAGCATCAGAACTTCAAAGAAGAATACTGCACAAGAATGGACCCTGGACTCTTCCTGAGACAGACATTGTTGGTTGGAATTGTAGCTAAATTCCACCATCAACTATGTAACAGGCAAGTTCTAAGGCTTATCTTGCATACTTGAGGGGTCTTATTTTGGTTGCTATATGCAATAAAATTTAAGTCATTGTTTCAGTATTTGATTGTCTGTGAGATTTCTTAAGTAGCTGCATTAGTGGCAATTTGTGGTTATTTACCCACAATAGTACTGATTTACCAGTACTGCACAGGCTAATGTGCTCTTTGATTTCATTGCTTATGTTTGGCACATCTCTTACTTTCCTCAGAATAGGCTCAATTTCTTGGTGACTTGTGTGGATGTATTTTGGACCCAGAGTAGCCTGTCCTCTTCGCATGACTATGGTGGTATCATACAACCTCAACCTTATTTTTGAGGACTTAGATTTCATGTTTCATGTTCAGCCACTTTGCGTAAGTTTGTGAAGGTCATTGCAGGACACTCTGGCGTCTGTCTGACTCTTTATATTGATTTCATGTTCTCCATTCGCAGTCATCATTCCAATAGTCTCAAACTACTTATCACCCATCAACCTGACTGATCCAACATAGAGTAGATTTGACAGAAGCTTCAGTTGAAAAACTGTCAGTTCTGCTTCATATCACCTTTTTTGTTTTGACTGAAGCTGGGAAGCAGCTATTGTGCCTAACCCAGTGTTATAGCTGCGACCTACTTATTTGTTCTTTTCCAGTTTTCTTTCTTTCAGTTGCTTGTAGTGGCTTTCACAATTCTAAACACATCTCTCTTTCCGGAGCTAAGTGCCTGTACAGCTCTTGAACACTTCAGCTCAACTCCACTTCTGAACTCTCAAGATAACATTCTTGCCTGCACTGTGACTGAAACTGGGTACAAGGTAGACGTGGCCAATCAGTACTTCATGGTAGATGTCCCACTGAATACAGCATGTCTGGAGGCACACGGGTACAGTGTTACATTTTATCAAATACAAAGATCGCCATCCTCCTACAACTTCCTTCACCACCCCATTCACAACTCTTTCTTTAACTGTCTAGGCCCTCCCTTTAGAATTCATTTCCTAAAACATGAGTGATGGATAGGTTTAAGGCATTGTTTACCTCTACCTCTGTGACTAAACATTTGGTTGCTTGTCCTAATCCCTCCTTTGGTTAGATACAAATTTTTCTTTGATAACCAACCTTTGGTGTGCTACGGGATGCTTCACAATTGCTAAAGGTGCTATATAAATGCAGGTTGTTTGAATCTCCCTCCCATTGCTCACCTCTCCCCTGGCCGGAATTGACTTTCCTGTCTACACTTCTAAATTTCGAGAGCGGAAACAATGCATTACAGGGAGTTAAGTGGTAAACCTGGGCCAAATGACTATTGCGTGCAGATGAACTGTGATATTGTCGGGTTGAGAGATGAAATTGAGGTTAATTATTTGAGTAATTTCTGAGACTTAGTCTTTGCCCTCTTGTTTAGGGAGTGTCGCTCCCTCCCTCCCTCTCTCAGTACACTTATTTCTCTGCCATTTCAGATCTGATTTCTCTGGCCTTTAACCGTGCCATGGGTCAGGTGCTTGGCAAGGAGGAGAACCATAAATGCCTTTGAGTTATCAAAGGTCACAGGAGGAAAAAGAAAGTCATCTCAGGGACTGAAGTAGATGAAGGAAGCAGCGTGACCTAAATCTTTGTACGTGACGGATAGCTGGTCCAGTTTATTCCTAAACACTGAGATTTGGCAACATTGATCATCATTGTCGGAGAATTCTGCAACAACAGGTAAGGAGCCACGGGAATATGTACATCTGAAACTTTTGCACTTGCTTCAGTTGACTTGAAATTGTTATTGGTCAATTTTTGCAGCTTTAAAATAGATGCATAAGCCTAAATAAACTAAAATAAATCAAATTCAAATGCAGAGCGTAAAGATTGTGTTCCGGACGCTTTGAACGGGAGCAATTTTCTGAAAGTAAGAAGGAACCTTGGATCCTAGGGTGTGATTGGCCTGGCCCAGAATCTTGTTGAATTTTAAGTGACTTTCGAATGCTGAATGGTAGGAATGCTTGACTGACAATTAGGATGAATCCGTCAGTGGTGGCCCAATGCTGAGTTATACCTGTGTCACCTCCTATATTTATCAGCTGAAGGGGGTTTGGTTTAGCTCAGTTGGCTGGATGGTTGGTTTGTGAAGCAGTATGATGCCAACAGCATGGGTTCAATCCCAGCACAAGCTGAGATTACCATGAAGGACTCTCCTTCTCAACTTCTCACCTTGCCTGAGGTGTGGTGGCCCTCAGGTTAAATCACCACCAGTCATCTTTCTCTCTCTCTCTTGTTAATGAGAGAGCAGCCTATGGTCGGGTAAGACTATGACAACTTGATTTGATTTATTAGCTCAATGGGTAACGCTCTCTGCCTTGCCCCTAGTCAGAAGGTTGTATAGTCAGGTCTTGCTTCCGAGACACCTATAAACAAGATCCATGCTGAGTGGAACACTGAGGGAATGCTGCACCTTAATTTGGATTAAATACTAGATAGAGGTCCGGTTGGCACCTTCAGTCAAATGTAAAATGGTACATTTTGAGGAAGAGCAGGGAAATTATCCCCATGTTCTGAATCATACGTATCCTCAAGCAATATTATTAAAACAGCCTCTTTGATTATTGTAGTTTGTTATGCAGTTGGAGCTAGATGTAAGCAGTTTAGCTCCTGCAGTTCTTATCCTACAACATTGACAGCACTCTGTACTTCATTGGTTGTAAAATACTTTGGGGGTGCCCTCGTTTGTGAAAGGCACAGTATCACAGCAAGTAATTCATGATTTGCCATCCTTCAATCTTTTAAGATTCTTGTCATGTAAATCTGCAAAGGAATGTTTAGAAACATAAGTGATCCATATGCTATAAAGTGAATGAATTAATTAACAAGAGCTGAAGCTTTCTGGGTTAATAATTATATCAACATATCTTAGACTGGGAATAGGTAATTCATTCAAAACAGTAATACAGGGCTGCCAGGACTCACTGAATATGTGTTTTACAGAAAGGAGCACACACAAATGAATGAATTCATTATTTGATGTTGGGGAAAAAAAAACCTATACATTGAAATATCCTAAAGCTCAAATGCATCATATCCTGGAAAATTTTAGTCTCCCCCCCCCCCCCCCCCCCTAATTGTCAATATTATTCGTCCTTGTCATTCTGGCACAATGGGGATGGAAGTATATGGTCATGTTCTGTGACACTGTGTTTCATGCTCTCCTTGTTCTCTGAGCAGCAAGGAGTCAAACTGACTCTAGTTGGTGGTGTATTTACCAGCTAGTGACTCTACTCATGTTGGAGAGGAGATGAGTGGCTTCTGATAGAGTCATACAGCATGGAAACAGACCCTTTGGTCTAACCAGTCCATACCAATCATAATTCCAAACTAAACTAGTCCCACCTTCCTGCGTTTGGCCCATATCCCTCCAAATACTTCGTATTTGTGTACTTATCCAAATGTTTATAGTGTTGTAATTGTGCCCACATGCACCACTTCCTCTGGAACTTCGGTCCACACACGAACCAAGCTGTTTATAAAATTGCCCTCATGTCTTTTTTTAAATCGTTCTCCTCTCATCTTAAAAATATGCCCTCTAGTCTTGAATTCCCCCACCCTGCCATGACACCTGCCATTCACTTTATCTATACCCCTCATGATTTTATAAACCTCCATAAGGTCACCCCTCAACCTCCTATGTTCCAGTGGAAAAAGTCCCAGCCTATCCAGCCTCTCCTCATTACTTAAGTCCTCCATTCCCGGCAACATCCTAGTAAATCTCTTCTGAAACCTGTCCAGCTTAATCATATCCTTCCTATGATCGATGATTTGCTGGTGGTAGAAAGTCAGAACCAGGCAACCTTCTCTGTCCATCTGGAAAGTTAATGCCTAAAACAGGCCAGTCCATCATATTCCAGGCCACTGTGACCTGCCAATTCCTGCTGTCAACCCATCCCTGTGGCCCCAGTTTATAGTCCATGCCAATTTTGAACCAGTCCATGTTTCCACCCATGCCCATAGCCACAGTTTTTGTCCACTACACTGACCTAGTTCCAACTCATGGCAATCTGTGCCCCTTCCATCCACCTCCCACCCACCACTCTTTACCCTAAACCTCATACCAAAACACTGAAGACCTGTGATGCAGATGTAAGAGCACCCCTTATCCAAGCTATATCATGACATCTAGGAATCTGCCTTTGAACCGGCAATGTGGGGAATTGCCAAAATTCTGGTCATGAAGGAGCTAGAAAGATCCAATCCTGACAATTACTGTCCCTCCGGGCCACTCTCAATTGTCAACAAAGTGATGGAGTGTCTCAAAAAGCTAATACAGCAATAGCCTGCTCAGTGAAGCCCAGTTTGGGTTCTGCCAGGGCCACTCGGCTCCTGACCTCATGACAGCCTTGGTTCAAACATGGAGAAAAGAGCTGAATTCCAGAGGTGAGGCGAAAGTGACAGCTCTTTTGGTCAAATGCAGCCTTGACATCGTGTGGCATCAAGGAGCCCTAGCAAAACTGGAATCAATGGGTATCAGAGGCCAAACACTCCGGTGATTAGAGTCATACCTGGCACATAGAAACATGGTCATGGTTGTTTTTTGGTCAGTCATCTCAGCTCCAGGGCATCTCTGCAGGAGTTCCTCAGGGTAGCATCCTAGGCCCAACTGTCTTCACCTGCTTCATCAATGACCTTCCATCCATCATAAGGTGAGAACTGAGTAACCATTGGCGAACAATATTCAGTACCATTCGCAACTCCTCAGATACTGAAGTGCTGAATCCTCTACTGCCAACATCATAGATCATCATAAATCATAGAATCCCTGCAGTGTGGAAACATGCCCTTCGGCCCAACAAGTCCTCATCAACTCTCACAGCATCCCACCCAGACCCATCCCCCATAACCCACCTAATCTACACATCCCTGAACACTATGGGTAGTTCTGCATGGACAATCCACCTAGCCCTGCACATCTTTGTGACTGTGGGAGGAAACCGGAGCACCCGGAGGAAACCCACGCAGACACTGGGAGAATGTGCAAACTCCACACAGACAATCACCCAAGGGTGGAATCGAACCCAGGTCGCTGGCACTGTGAGGCAGCAGTGCTAACCACCGAACCACCATGCCACCCCTGAGGTTACTATTGACCAGAAACTGAACTGGACTAGCCATATAAGTACAGTGGCTACAAGAGCAGGCTAGAGTCTGGGAATTTTTGTGGCCAATAACTCAAGCACTGATTTCCCAAAATTTGCCCAAAGGCTTAAATCAGGAGTGGATGGGTGCAGCTTTAGTAACAGTCGAGAATCTCACCACCATCAAGGACAAAGCAGCACATTGATTGGCACCACATCCACAAGCATCCTCTCCCTCCCACACCAAAGTCCAGAACAGCAGTGTGTGCGATCTACAAGATGCACTGCAGAAATTTGTCAAAGACTTTCAGAGAGTACCCTTCAAATCCATGACCTGTACTACTGTGAAGGACAGAAGACACAATTTTATACATTCATTTGTGGGATGTGGGCATCGTTGACTAGGTCAGCATTCATTGGCCATCAAGAGTCAACCACACTACATGTAGACCAGACCAGGTAAGAATGGCAGTTTCCTTCCCTAAAGGATATTAGTAAACCAGATGGGTTTTTCCTGATAATCGGCCATGTTTTCATGGTTATCATTAGACTCTTAATTCTAGATGTTTTTGTTTTGAATTCAGTCTTCACCATCTGATGTGTTTGGATTTGAGCACTGATCCCCAGAACATTACCTAGCTCTCCGGATTATTAGGTCTAGCAATAATACTACTAGGCCAATGCCTCCACGAGATGAGCTCCCGGTCTGGGAGTTAAACCCAGTGACAGACGTGGATACTAGCAATCCATATGTTCCCCTCCAAGGACACATCATCCCAACTTGAAACTATATCCCCCTTACTTTACATCTACCTACCTAACAGCACTGTAGGTATACCTGTACCTCATGGACTGCAGTGGTTCAAGCAAGTGGCTCATCACTGTTATATTAGCAGGTGAACTTAGTCTGCATCTCAACCATGGCGTTGATTTGCTATCACCATACCCTTTAAGTGTATAGAGAGAAAGAGACAGAGAGGGCCAATTGTTCTACTGTGGTTGATGAGAAGCACTTAATGGTCTAACTAGAGGAGACTCTTGTAGTTAACAGCAAGTAATTCACTGCAGCTAGTTACAGGTTACAATGATATGATAGACATTGTCACAGAAACTTTGAGGAGGGTCAGATGTTGGTTCTCACTCTTTCGAGATGCTAAGTTTATGTGACATTGTCATAGTGGGTGACGCTTAGGGCTTTCCTCAATATTAACCCTTGCAGACCCTCACACCCTTAGACAACAGCCACCACCAGTGTTGGCATTCAGTCCTTTTAGGTTCATCTTTTGCTTTGTTTGATCAGACAGCCTGCATGTTCCTTGACTAAAGATAGCACTCAAATCACTCTGGGCCTTAAGCTCTGAGTTCTGCCAAACAAATCCTTATTGAAAGTTTTTATGTCAATGAGAAGTCAGAACTGGGTCAGGTTTTGGTTTTCTGATCTTTCTGATTCAATAACCTGCTAAATCACAGCTGTCTGTCTTCTCATATGAAGACTAACACCAAACGTGGCTTCAAGCTAGCTGCTGTACCATTTATGGGGGAGGTGAAGTAATTCGGAGCGCTCCAGGTAATGCAGTAGGTTGCTAAAATCTGAAAGACAACACCTAGATTTTGTGTTGGAAACACATTTTGATTAGCTTTGAAAGGTGTGATTACTTGAACAGGAGACGTTTGCAGTGCTGTGGTAAGCAGAATGGGGAACTGGATCTTTAGTCATAGAGTCATAGAGATATAGAGCACGGAAACAGACCCTTTAGTCCAACCAGTCTATTTGGACCATAATCCTAAACTAAACTAGTCTCATCTGCCTGCCCTTGGCCCATACCCCTCTAAACCTTTCCTATTCATGTACTTATCCAACTGTCTTTCAAACGTTGTAACTGTACCCGGATCAACCACTTCCTCTACAGGTTCATTCACAACGTGAATTACTCTGTGTGAAAAAAAATACCCCTCATGTCTTTTTTAAATCTTTCTCTTCTCACTTTAAAAATATGCCTCCTAGTCTTGAAATCCCCCACCCTAGGGAAAACACACCTTCCATTCACCTTATCTGTACCCCTCATGATACGCTCCAGTGAAAAAGTCCCAGCCTATCTAGCCACTCTGTATAACTCAAACCCTCCATTCCCAGCAACATCCTTGTAAAGCTCTTCTGAACCCCTCTCCAGTTTAATGATACCTTTCCTTTAACAGCGTGCCCAGAACTGGACACAGTACTTCAGAAGAGGCCTCACCAGTCTCCTGTACAACATAATGTTCCAATTCTTACACTTATAGAGCTAAGCAATGAGGGCAAGTGTGATAAACGCCTTCTTAACCACCCTCTCTTCCTGTGACTCTTCAAAGGCGTATGTACATGAACCTCTAGGCCTCTCTGTTCTAAAACTTTACCCAAAGCCCTATCTTTAATTGTATAAGTCCTGCCGTTGGTTGTTTTACCAAAATGCCTTGCATTCATCCAAATTAAACTCCATCTGCCACTCTTCAACCCATTGACCCAATAGGCTATTGTTTCAATAGCTGGCACATCTGCCATCAGCGATATAGCATTCTTCTTTGTTTAAGGTTTGGAGGCACTTACTTACATGAATTCTAAGCCATGGTGATGAAAGGGTCGGTATGCCAGAATCATGACAACAGTTGATCATAGAATCCCTACAGTATGGAAACAGGCCATTTAGCCCAACAAGTCCACACCGACTCTCTGGAGAGTATCCCACACCCCCTACCCTATCCCTGCAACCCTGGACTTTCCGTGGCTAACCCACCTAGCCCGCACATCCCTGGACACTATGGGCAATTTAGCATGGCCAATCCACCTAACCTACAAACCATGGACTGTGGGAGGAAACCGGAGCACCCAGAGGAAACCCACGCAGACTCGGGGAGAATGTGCAAACTCCACACAGACAGTCGCCCGAGGGTGTAATCGAACCCGGGTCCCTGGCACTGTGAGGCCACAGTGCTAACCACTGAGCCATCATATTGAACTCCTACCTATCCCTGAATGGTTGTAGTTATGTCTTGTGAAACCCTTGCACATTACTGATATATTAAGATAAACAGGGATTTGAATTAAACACAAACAAAAGCTGTTACTCTTCTCGTTACTGGTTCCTCCTCCTCTTCCTCCTCCCCTCACTTGAAGGTTACCATATAGAGGAGTCACAATGAATACTGTGTATTCAAAGACCAGTAAGCTCTGAAGCTTCGTACACTGTCGGGCACAGTGCTGTGCTGATGTGTTCTGTCTGTGCTGATCATCTGCAATGTCACTGCCCCTTCAATGTGTCGTGTCTCCGTCCCACCCGCAGGTCAGAATGGACGAGGAGTTCGCGAAACACCGCATCAAGGAGCTCCAGCAGCAGCGGATGATGGTACAGAAAAAAACCTTCACCAACTGGATAAACCAGATTCTGTCAAATAACCAGGTGAGCAGTAAGTCCTGGGGTCCATTAGATCTGGAGTTTTTGATGGTGAAAGACTGCTGTATTGGAAATTGGGGAATTTGGCTGTCCTTTTACGTAAGTCAGAGAAAGTTAACAATGCATTTGAGAAATCAAGTGGCATGTTAACCTCCGTTACCTAGGGATTGCAACATAAGAATAAAGAAATCGTGCTATGGTTGTATAGTGCTTTGGTGAGACCGCACCTAGAGTACTGTGTGCGGTTTGGAAATTAGTAAGATATTAAGAAGAATCAGGACCAGCTAGCCCATTTTGTAGATCCATAGAACTCACGGTGTGGAAACAGGCCATTCAGCCCACCGGGTCCACACCGACCCTCCGAAGAGCATCCCACCCCGACACAACCCCCTTCCTTATCCCTGTAACCCTGCATTTCCCATGTATAACCCACCTAGCCCGCACAACCCTGGACACTATGGGCAATTTGGCATGGACAATCCACGTAACCTGCATATCTTTGGACTGTGGGAGGAAACCGCAGCACCCGGAGGAAACCCACGCAGACATGGGGAGAACATGCAAACTCCGCACAGACAGTTGCCCGAGGGTGGAATCCAACCCGGGTCCCTGACGCTGTGAGGCAGCAGTGCTAACCACTGAGCCACCGTGCTGGCAAAAACATTGCAGATCTTGAAGATTATCATTGATCTTGAAGATTATCATTTATCTTCTCCCTCTGTTACATCTTGCGCACTATGCCCACATTCTCATCGAACGAGTGATAGGCTTCCTTTGCAGAGAATACGATAGTTTCCCTCGAGTAATTCCTGGGATGAGGAGACACTGGGTTCATAATATTTGACATTTGCAAGAATGAAATTGAAAGCATTTAGAAGGTTTAATGGAGTTGACACTGAGAGGTTGTTTGTCCACCTCATGCTGTAGAGTCCAGCACTTGAAGTCATAGTTTCAAGATCAGGGGTCAGCCCATTTGGAATAGAGGCGAGAATTTTGGCTGCATTGTTTGTAAATCTTTGGAATTCACTAACCCAGAGAGCTGTGCATGCTCAGTCATTCAGTATATTCAAAGCTGAGTTCAATGGATCTATGATTTCTCAGGGAATTGAGGGATATCGCGAGAGTGTGGGAAGGTGTAAATGAGAAGTGGAAGAACAGGCTTAACAAGTTGAATGTACTACTGCAGCTTTTGTTTATCTTACTCATACTAAATCCTGAAGGAGCAGCAAACCCACTGCTTGTAGGGGATTGGGCTGGCAGGAAGGCAGGGCTCGGTGTGTGTGTGTGTGTGTGTGTGTGTGTGTGAATGAAACTGGAGAGGTGGATGGATTTAATTCAGCATGTCTGAACATGGTTTATTTTTATTCATTCATGTCACTGACTGGGCCAGCATTTATTGCCCATCCTTAATTCAGAGCCAGCCACATTGCTATGGGTCTGGAGTCACATGTAGGCCAGACCAGGTAAGGAGGCAGTCTCCTTCCCTGAAGGGCATTAGTGAACCAGATGGGTTTTTCCTGACAATCTGGATTCATGGTCATCATTTGACTCCTTAATTCCAGATTTTTATTGAATTCAAAATTCTACCATCAGCCATGGCAGATTTTGAACCCGGGTCCCCAGAACATTACCTGGGTCTCTGGTTTAACAGTCCAGCGATAATACAACTAGGCCATCGTCTCCCACTGTACTTGATGTGCCAAGCTTGAGGGGTGGAGGTGTTGCCAGGATGACAGTGTTTCACACTGGGATGCAGTGGGATAAAAACAGAAAGTGCTGGAGAAACTCGGCAGACCTGACAGCATCTGTAGAGAGAGAAAGAAAGTTAATGTTTCAGAACTTAAGCTCTGTATCTCGCTCTACCAGTGCTGCCTGAGCTGCTGAGTTTGTCCAGCACTTCATTTCTTATTTCAGATCTGCAATAATTTGTTTTTATTATTGTTACGGGTGATTTGGGGATTTGATGTAGCAGGTCCAGGGGCCAGATTATGACAGTCTGCCATTTGTAGCGTTCTATTGTTTTGTGTTGGTGTGTGATGGAAGTTTGCAAGTTAACCCCTTAAGGGAATTCCCTTATGGGAATATCTGATCTTGGCCTTGTAAGTGGATGGAATAGAGGGAGAAGAGTTCACTCTCTTCTTCCCACCTTGTGAAGCTTTGCTCAGGGGTGTTGGATAACACTGCTTAAAGGGCAACATGCTAACAGCAGAGCATCGTGTTGTTCCAGCTGGATTAAATCCAGCATTTAGCAGTATGGAGATGTACAAAAAACCACAACAAAGGCTCCTGGTTATTTAGGTTTTATGATTAGAGGCACACAGATCAGAAGTAAAGGAATGGTGCTAAACATTAGTTAGTCCGTGGTTGGAATGCTGAGTGCAGTTTTAGGAAAGTGGCAGAGAGCATACACTGTCAACGCACCAGGCTAGTTAAGGAGATCGGTTCTGAGGAGACATTCAAGATACCAAGGCTACTCACTGCGATTCAGTCTAGCCACTGGGTTCAATGGCTAGCGTGGGTCAGAGGACAGGTTCAATCTAGTCACTGGGTCCAGTAGAGAGAATGGCTCAGAGGATTGGTTCAATCTAATTGGAAAAATTTGTCAATTTTGCTTCTAATTTCCACCCTGCTCCCACCTTCACCTGCTGTGTCTCTGACTCCTCCGTTTCTTTCCTTGACAACTCTCTTTCAATTTCTGACCATCAATATTCACTACAAATTCATTGATTCCCACAGTTACCTTTGACTATACATCCTCACACCCTGCTTCCTGTGAAGATTCTATCCGTTCTTCCAATTCCTCCATCCCCATATTATCTGTTCTGATGATGCCAGCTTCAACGAGGGGGCCTCCAAAATGTCCACTTTCTTACCTAACCAAGGATTCCCAGCATCGTGATTGACAGGTCCCTCAGCCTTCTCTGACCCATCTCCCGCACATCTTCCCTTCCAAACAGTGATAGGGTCCCCATTGTCCTCACCTACCATCCCACCAGCATCCATATCCACAGGATCATTAGCCACCATTTCTGCCACCTCCAGTGGGATTCCATCACCAGACACGTATTCCTCTCCCCTCCCTAGTCAGGGACCGTTCCCTCCCTAGGACACTGTGGTCCACTCCTCCTTCACTCCCAGCACCGCCACACACCTGCACGGCACCTTCCTGTGCCATTGAAGGAGATGTATCACTTGCTTTTTTACTTCCTCTTTCCTCACTTTCCAAGGCCCCAGACACAGCTTCCAGGTGAAGCGGTGATTTACCTGCACTTCACTCAATCTGGTCTACTGTATTCACTGCATTTGGGAGATGAAACACAGACTAGGGGACCGCTATGCAGAACACCTATGTTCTGTCCGCAAAAATGGGCCCAAGCTTCTAATTACCTGCCATTTCAACATACCACCATGTTCCAACATCTATGTCTGAGCCTTGTTGTAATGCTCAATCATTTTTGGTCCTGAGCACCTCTCACACACCAGGCCTTGTCGTCATGTTGGCTGATACCAGAAACAACCCATTATCAGCTCCCAGGCTGATAATGACCCATTCCTTTGTCTGTCCATCCGTTATTCTCCCATTGAGTATGCACCCCATCCCCCCAACCATCTTAAGCATATCCATCAACCTTTTCCTAACTACAGTCAATTCTGAAGAAGGGTCACTGGACACAAAATGTTAACTCTGCTTTCTGTCTCTACAGATGCTGTCTGACTTCCTGAGTTTGTCTAGCAATTTCTGGTTTTGTTTCTGAATTCCAGCACCTTTGATTTTTTTATTTGACAGGTTCAGTCTAGTCACTGGGGCAAAGGATAAAATCTGAGAAGATTTGGAAAATCAAAGAGTAGAGTCCAAGCTCAAAGAAAGATGTTAATATGGGTAATGATAAACAGACATGACAGGAAGAGATAGAGGGTAAGAATGTGAGAATTCACAATCAGAAAAAGTTGAAAATTCACAAAGACAGTAAAAAGATAAAAGTAGAGGACTTGTGGTGTTTGAAATAAAATAGATGAACTGAGAATGCAAATAGAAATAAATAAGTACAATCTAGTAGCCATTTGGAGACATTGCCACAAGATGACTTGGATTGGGACCTGAGTTTTGAAAGGTAATGGAGATTTAGGAAGGAGAGGTACATAGAAAAAAGTGGAGAGGTGGCTTTGTAATTTAATGATAGTATTTACATGATTGAGAGGGGTGATCTAAGTCCAAAAAAACATCAAAATGTGGAAACAGTTTAGACAGAAGTGAGAAATATTAAATACAAGAAGTCATTGTGGATGTCGGGTATAGGCCTGTTAACAGTAGGTATACGATGGGGTGGGGCATATAGGAAGACACTTGAGAGCTTGTCAGAAAGCATGCATTTATCATGGGATATTTTGTGTATTGACTGGAAAAGTCTGAAGGGCAAAGGTAGCTCAGATGAGCCAATGGAATGGTGTCAAGATAGTGTCTGAGAATGTTCTGGATCCAACCAGAGAGCAAACCTAGGATTGTACAATGAGATAAGATTAATCAATGATCTCATGTGAAAGCAATGTAGGTAGCACTGATCATAACATGATTAAATTTTACATTCGATTTGAGAGAGAGACAGAGGAATAGAGAGAGGGCATGAAAGCGGAGCTGGCTAAAATGAATTGACAAATTAGGTTAAAGCTTAGGTCAGTGTAGAATGCAGTGACAGACATTTGAAATGATATTTCAGAATGTACAGCTATATTTCACCAAGCAAGAAAAATTCCAACGGGCAGACACTGTCCATGGTTAATGAGAAATGTTAAGCACTATATCAGACTTAAAGAAAAAGCATCTAACTGTTCAAAGACAGGTGGCGGGTCAGATGATTGAACAGAATGTAAAAAACTGCAAAGAATAATCAAAAAAAGAATAAAGGGGTAAAATTAAGAGTGGGAGAGAAAGCTGGCCAGAATTCTAAAAGCATAATAAGAGTTTCTTAAATATTTAAAGAAAAGAGTTAACAAAGTGAATGTTGTTC